AAAATATTCGTCTACTAGTTTTATTGTTGGAATGAAATACAGCAAGACTTGCATTGCCTACTAAGAAAGTTAGTAGCCGGTAGTCATCGGGTTAAATCTTCATTTGTAAAAACCAAAGAAAAAGTAAAATTTAATAATTCTTAAATTTATGATGCTTTTCATTAATTTTATTTCTTAAATTCTTTGTGAGCCAACCTGGTTTTTTTACTTATAGCTACCATTTTCTTTCTATTACAAACTACTTCAGTACTAGTGGTGCATTAGCTAAACATGTTGCTGACCAGTGCTGAGAATGTAATTCTGCTCAATGGAAAGGTACAAATTTTTCTTGACCTTTTCTTCTTCACAGTTTAGATCGAACAATATTGGGTAATACACTACTAAAGCTTACAAGAGAAACAACAGTGACATTCAAATATCTATGAAATCTCTAGCCCATATGAGGGTGTCAATACTTCACATTTCAACAACAGACCATGTTCATATGACCATAGAAAGCATCTTATTTAAGCTACTTACAGGACATAAGCCAGGACTCCCACTGCCCACATGTCTGTGTAAAACCCAATGGGTTCTCTGTCTACAATTTCAGGGGCAGCAAACTCTGCTGTGCCTGTCGAGATTTTCACAACTTCATTAGGTTCCAGTTTTGTGGCAAGACCAAAATCAACCAGTTTGATATCTGTGCTGTTCTGAGTTTGACACATTATGTTTTCTGGCTATAAAACACACAAAAGTGAAATGTCAGTATTACTGACATACGTTTTGTGAAACAAGGCAGCATAAAAGTTAAACATTAGGACTGACATATTTTTGTAAAACAAACAGCATAAAAGTTAAATGTCAGTATCAACATATTTTTGTGAGACAAAGTAGCATTCACTATATATTTTAATACTATTGATACTGTATCATTCTATTTTTCCTTTAATAAAGAAGTTAGTCAAGTTGAGTTTTCTAATTATTTTTAAATTGTCAAAAACTTGTTATCATAACTTCAAAATATGTTGTAACAGTTGACTAACTGCCATAATAAATTGAAAAATACAGAGTAGCTATTTAGTTACATTCTATACATACACAGTGTTACGTCTCCGTTTGTTAATTGATTTTCCGTAACTTCGTTCCGACGAAACTTAAGCTACACAAGTCCTTTCTTAATAAAACTGGTTTATTCTTTCCGAATATAACTTTACCGATACACTCAACTTCAACAATCGCGCTAAACAAACGCTGTAACGTCTCTCGTGCCCTCTGACTGCAGTTCAATTACTCACTGTCTATACACACATTACCGCATCACGTTGTCCCCCTCTTTTATATACCCGACCACCCCATATCCAGTAAATACTAGAGCATTTGCCAAAGTACAGGATAGTTCTAGAAACGTGGCGTCACAGTAGTCATGTGACTCGCTGATGCAACACTGCCCCCTCCTTAATATTGTTCGTCCCGAACAATAACCACATATGATAAACCAATAACAATTAACAATAACTTAATTAACTGTACAGAATTACAAAGAGACTTTGTTGAATTGTAATTTTGTCTTAATTTTATGGGACGTATCTTCATCCGTACTGGTCTCCGTCTCATTGGCTTCTGCTTCATGTGGGGTTCATCTGCTTCATCAGTTAATGTCCCATCATTGATAACAGTCACATCAGTGGTAGTAACTTCACCAAGAGCTTCACTGTTACCCTTCTCAAAACTGAGTAGAGTTTCTTCTTCGATGGTAGAACAAATGACGCTGCTGAAGACGTGCCACCTGAAGAAGCCACATTTCACTTGGGACGAAGTAGAAAACCCTGGACCGTGGCTTTGGCGTTATCTGTTGGCATGCACCACTTTTGGCTTACCGGAAAGTCACGTCTGAGATACGATCCACTATGTCATATGGGCCTTCCCATGGAGAAGACAACTTAGGAGACTTCCCTTTGGTCTTCCTGGGATTATACAACCATACCTTGTCCCCTGGTACAAAGCTGACCTCAGTAGATCTCTTATCATAAGCCAACTTCATCGAATCAGCAGACGTTTTCAAGTTTGTACGCACTTGATGGTGAATATCATCCATCCTTTCCGATAACACTTCCACAAGCTCTGACATATTCGCAGGCAACTCTTCATCATTTGGGCGTCTCTTATGCTTGGGTCCCCTTTTAGTACTACATGTATGGCATGTCTTGCACCATTTTTCCACATCTCTCCTCATACCTATCCAGTAAAATCGTTGTCGTATGTGACTCAATGTCTTCTTAATTCCGAGATGTCCTCCTGTTAAATTATCATGGGACTGGCGCAGCACAACTTCCCGTAACTTCCTCGGTATAACTGTTTGCCAAGTCGTCACTTTCCCATCTGTAGTTTCCCATCTCCGGAGAAGAATACCATTTTCAAGCTTCAACTGCTCCCATTGCACCCAATAGTGCTTTGTCACAGGGCTTAGACTAGACACCTTCTCCCAAGAAGGGTGCGAAACACTTGCTTTTAGAAAATCAATTATTGGCTTCAAATCTTGGTCCTTCTCTTGTTCTGCTTTGATATCTGTATTTAGTTCCACTTCA